CGGAAGGGAAGCGCCCCCCGCCCCCACGGCCGCCTCGCCCGGGAGACCCGCGGGCGGCGAAGCCCCCGCAGCGGAGGGGCTGGGAAGCAGAGGGGCTCCGCGCCCACCTCAGCACCTGGTCCCAGTCGCTCTGCAGCCGCACCACCGCCGCCATCTTGCCCGGCCCGGCCCGCCCCGGAAAGCGCGTCCGCTCTCGCGCGCCCAGGAAGCGGCGCGGCCGGAGCGGGGACCGCAGGGCGGCTCAGGTGAGCGCGGGCCGCCGGGGCGCCCGGGGCGGCGGGGCCGTTGGCGTGCCCGCGTAGCGCGGTGGGCGGGGCGCCCGGCGCGCGGGCGAAGCTAAGCAGGCGCGGCCGCGGCCGCCTCTGGAAGGGAGACTGGTGGCGCCCTGCGCCCTGCGCCAGGGGCGGTGTTGCGGCGTGTCCCGCTGGGGCTGGCGCGCAGAAACGGGGAAGCCGCCCGCCCCACCGTGGCCCTGCTCTCCATGGTGCGGATCCGGGGCACTCGGGAGCCCCGCTGCATCGGGTCCCGCGGGAAGGGAGGAGCGGGGCTTTTGCACCTCCTGCTGCCCCCACCCCTGAATTTGCTTTTTCTGAAATCAAATGCTCTTCTCTGCCTTGTCCGTACCTCCCTTTTTACAAATAGGGGTGTCCCTCGGAGAAGGGGTCCCTTAAAAGTCCACAGACACATGTGCTTCCTCTTCTACTAGCCTCCACCTCTCGCCCTTCTGCCTGGGGGTTTTTTCCTGAAATCCAATGCCCTTATTTCCTCCTCTAGACATTTTTTTTTAACACGTAGGTGTTTCTTTAGGCGATAGGGACCTTTAAATACATCATTAACAGCACATGTAAATCAGTATTATGCGAGCTTGTGCTTTTTGGCTCTGTCTTCCTGTCCTGAGCCCCTGGACCTTATCAGTGCTTGGCACCTTGGGCAGAAGCGATGAAGCTTATTTGTCAGTCCAGGGGGCCAGGCAGAAGCTCAGCAAGCGATGCTTTTCCTCCATTAGCCAGGAGTGGCTGCATGCAAAATGTAGCAAAGAATTTGTACCCGTGCAAAAGGAGTCTGTGTCCTTCCTTCCACCAGAAGGCAAAACACCCGAGAGAGCTGGACCATTGACAGCACCTGCAATCACACCAATCTTCAGGGACGCTCGCATTTATTGGCACTTAAGCACTCGATATTCTTTGTTCTCCCACAGCAGATGCTGTCTTGGAAGAGATGATCTAAGTTATCAGCATTTCCGCATCTGTGGTTGTCCCTGGTAGGTATGAAGATCTCAGCAGCACATTTTTCTGATGGTTGGATTTCCCCAGCTGCCTCCTCCCTTCAAATGTTCATTTTCTCATCCCTTACTCACCCTTCATCCAGATCCCCCAATATGTCCACGGCCAGCCCACCTGGCCACAACTGGAGCCGGAAATCAAAAGCAGAGGAGGAGGAGGAGGATCCCTTTGATCAAATGATCTCGCGCACGGGGTGCGCCGCTTTCCACTATGCGGTGCAGGAGTGCATGGCCGAGCACCAGGACTGGCGCAAGTGCCAGGCGCAAGTGCAGAGCTTTAAGGACTGCATGCAGGAGTATCAGAAGCAGCGCGCAGAAGAGGTGCAGAGACGGCAGGCGCTGCACCGTGGCTCGAGCTGAGGGAAGGCGAGCTGGCGGCACGGCACCCCTTTGCTCTGCGGGCTGCTCAAGGACCATCGGGGCAGGACTGCGCTGGTGCTTCGTTCTCGATGATGCAAAGCAAGGTGAGAAGAGCCCCGTTCGACAGGGATGTACGCCCAGTGCGAGGCTCATGCCAGTAACCACGTTGCTGCATCTGTGTTTTTAACAGGAGACCTGTCCTGCCAAAAATAAATGTGGAATCGATCTCTTTATCTTTTGGGGTGATGCAGGAGTGAAATGCAGGTTGTTCTAGAGGTGCTTTGTGTAAGAGGAACTGCTGGCAGCCGCTGCTTCTCTGGCTGATGGGCCAGGCTGGTCTCCCCTGGGCTTGACATTGCGCCTGGGAAGCAGGGGGCACAGCCCCCAGTTGCCCTGTGCCAATGGCAAAATCCAGCGTGCGCTTCCCTTGTGTTCTCCGTTCCCACGCTGCTTTCCGTGCACACAAGATGCATAACTAGAAATCGTCCTAGATCCTTTTGTTCCTGAAGGTTAAGTGCTCCCTTGAGCCCTGAAGACCCTTCCCCACAGTAGCTGCCCACCAACTCTCTGAATGTAAGAAGGAAAGAGCAATGCGCCGTGGGGGGGGGGGCCGGTGTGGATTCTGCATGGAAGCTTTGACTGACGTGTTTCACCAGCCCCGGTGCAGTAGGCACAGCTCTACCCTTAACGGGGGCCTAGAAATGTTACCTTAATTCATTAAATGAAATGAGTTGCCCCCAGAAGAGTCATGCCTGGAGCAGTGACTTATGCAGGATGCTGACGGGGGGGGGGGGGGGGGGGGGGGGGTGCATCCTCTGACTGCAGGGAATTCACACACTTCTACTCAGCTTGCCAGAAACGTGGGGGAACACTGGCTTAAGGAGAGAGCAAGGTTACTGCATGAGATGGACTTGAAACCCAATGGGGCAGACCTTCTTACAGGGCTGCTTAAGGGACTGGCGGCATTTTCTGTACCATGCAAAGAAACAGGGATGGGGACAGAAATGCGACTTTTTGTGGTCGTTCCTACTGGAATGCAGAGATGGTTTTGTGGAATCTGGCAGTCCTGGCCTTTCCTGCTTCACTGGCGCTGCTCCGACTAACCGCCAGGTGGCACTTGGTTGTCAAGAAGCATTCTGGAGGTGACACATGCTTCAGTCCAGCTTTCACCAACTCAGCACTGGACAGACATTTCGGACCGCAGTTCCCACGATCCCCAGCATGGCATCATGTGCTGACTGAGGATGATGGGAGTCACAGCCCAGAGCATCTGGAGGGCACCAGGTCAGGGGAGAGTGCTCTCAGTTTAATCGGGCAGGTCCTGACAAGGGCAAGTCTGAGTGGGTGCAGATGGTCTTGTGAATGTTGGTGCTACTCGCAGGCGCAAAAACTCTAATTCTGACATTTTTAATTCAACCAAACAAGGAGTGTTCTCTGGACGCATGATCCCAACAAAGACTCTCACTGCTACACACTACAGCACACCACGTTTTTTGCTGTTTATTACGGGAAAAGGCCCACAGTGGCAGAGCGAGCATGCCCAGAAAATACAGAAGTCCATTTCCACAGAATCACGGAAAGCGGCCGGAAAGACGGTTGGACTAACCTAAACACCGAGGTATTACGGGCACTTGTAAGAAGCTGCCGGGTTGACTCAGTTCAGCTGGGAAAGCAGCTGTTCGAGTTCTGGACGGTCCTTCAGTCGGATTTTGAAGTCTTCCTCTGTATGCTGTGGAGGGGTTCAGAGAAACAGCAGGTGGTTATGAATCAGGCAGAGATTAGCGGGGGGGAGGGCTGGTGTGCACCCTCCTTCCCTTCCAAAAAAGATCTTACGCTTGAATCTCCCCATCCTTGCCAAACCCACAAGGCTCCCAACAGCAGGAGAGGAGCCAGAGACAACAGGTTTGGCCAGGGCAGAGCAGCTCCTCTCAGCGCACAAACATTTCAGAGATTCTGTGGAGCGGGGCTGCGGGTATCCGCTTGTTAGATGTGACCAGATGCCCAGCCCTCATCCAGTGCAAAGCAGCATCCAGTGCAAAGCAGCGGTGGGCAGCTTAAGCTGGAACTGTGGTGGTGGGAAGTGGGGACATTCATTTTTAATACTCGCTAAAAGCAAACCTTGCAAAGTGCACCTCGGTTGTCAGCATTTTTAAAAGCCACAGTGAAGTTTAGGAAATGGGAGGATCAAAATGTGTTTTTTTGAAAGTAGGTTTTCTCCCAAGGTCACGTTTCCTGCAGATGCCCCAACTTTTTCTGCCCATGCACCAAAGGCAGGGAGATACAGCTCTGGAGCCAACATGCCTGAGCCACGGTTCTGCTTCATGGGGCTGCCTGCGGTTTATTAGCTAACGAGTGCCTGGCGGCACGTAAATTAAGGGCAAGCAGAGGAGGAGACACGCCATTAAGCATCTGGTGCAGCTGAGGAGGGGAAAAAACGGCTTTCTAGACAAAAATTACGCAAGCATAATTCCTCAGACTGCAACTTCTTGAACAGAGGACAGTAAATCAAAAGGCCAAGAGCCTCATGGCAACTCCCACCTTTCCCAGCCAGCGTGGCCACGACACTGATAAAAATAACACCCCCCCCACCCCCATCCTGTGCTTATCACAGGGAAGCCTGGCCACTTCCATGCGCATGCGCCATTTACACCTGCTGACAGTGCATGCGAAGGTTGCTCAGCACCACTACTTTCTGGGACCACATTTTCGTGACAGGGGGAAGCGGCCTCTGGAGCTACCCAAGGTATGTGAGCATGAGCAGGTTGAGCCCCAAGCAGATTTCTCTCCTCTCTTAAGTGCAGACACATCACACCACCACCGTGTCAGTGAAGGACATCGGCTTGAAGACATGCCCAACACTACTGGACTATCTGTAGAGCAGGGCATTCAGCCATGCATCTCTGAGAACTTTCCGTCACTTTCTGCTTAGCGGGGCTGGCCCAAAAGATGGTGCTGCCTGAGGTACGGCAGCGAATGGTGCCCCGACCACCCAAACCAAGGTGCATCGTGTCCAAAGATGGCCAAGTTACTTTGGTCCATGAGACAGCAAATCCCATAAGGGTTAGGGTTAGGGTGGAAATACAATTCTCTTCATGGATCACTGCCTTGCCGTGGCAAAGGGGCTTGTGCAGCTCAATGAAGCTATGAGCTATGCCGTGCAGGGCCACCCAAGACGGACAGGCCATAGCAGAGAGCGCTGACAAAACGTGATCCACTGGAAGAAATACAATAAAAACAAACTCAGTAACAATTTGCTGCCATAGCAAGAGATCCAAAAGCAGCTGCCCGAGATGACCGAATCGCTCTGCTGCATGGCAGAACAAGCCCTGACAGGAAACAGTGAATGCTTCCAGTCCGACTCTACGTACCTCTTTCACTAACAGATGGACTCCTTCAGGCTGGTTATTCCAAAGGACTTCCAAGAGAATGGGTGCAAATGTGGCAGTCAAACCTTTGATCTGGGTTGGGGAGTGAATTAAATCACCAGATGACAAAAGAACAAAGATGCAAAACTAGACCAATTATGTTACCAGCACGTCGTCATTATTATCGCTGCATTACATTTACATCACATGCTTTTCCCTCTTGCAAGAGACCGAAGGTGGCTTACATAATCCCTTTTAGCCTCACAATCACTTTGTAAGGTAGGTTAGACTATCAGTGAGTCATCCCAAGTCATCCAATGAACTTTATGGCTGAATGCAGACCAGAACCCAGATCTCCTGAGTCCCTGTCCAACGCCACGCCACATTATAAAGAATCCTTTTCTACCAGGAGCAAAAGGCACAGCGTGAAACCAGCACTCTGTACCATTTTGTCACAGATTTGGAAAGTGGCAAAATGACATTTGTACTGCACTTCTCCTCCAAAATGCTCCCATGGGGTTTACCCAATTTAGCCCCATCGCTCTTGTTCACATCCAGCACCCCATCGCCTGTATCACGCTGTTTTCACTGCTAACAGGCAACAGAATTGAGGAAACGAATGTCATTCAGTTATTTTTTTAGTGAACACAGTTGATACTCCATTTTGATTCAGAAATCTGAAGGCTGAATTGTGACAATGTATTATCATCATCTTCATCATTTCTATACTGCCCTACAGTCAAAGTTCTCTGTATGGTTTAGCGCTATCTAATACAGACCGCAAAACACGGAAAATATGCAAAATTCTTGCAAAATGTTGTCTTGGTTCTAGCTCACACTGTAGGGCAGGGTAGGGCATGGCGTGGGAGGAACAGGGGAGCTAATGGCAGGCCACTATTCCGTGAAATTCAGTCATAGGACCCCTCCCGCCTGGGGCTATCTGGTATTTGGGATTACAGCTGGAAGAAGCAACTGGGAAGCAATATGGCCACACACACATGCTACTGGGCAGAAAGGGAAGAACTTCATTTGGGTAAGCTGCATTCCCACATATGCCGAGCCAGAAATGGCTGGGGCATGCTGGGAGCCACAGGCCTTTTCTCCATCTCAGCATGCGTAGCAGCGCACCCTTAAATGACTGAGGAACTGCAGTGTTGAAATACTGTATTCAAAGCCCCCAGGCCCCAACTGTGTCAAATGCTGCCTGCAGAGCTGTGAAGACGAGGAGCTCGAGGCTCGATCTTGCATCGCACGCAGCTCGCTGGCCCAAGTGTCGCTGTTCTTTGTCCCCGAAGGAGGCAGCGGCGTCCTTGCTCTATTAGTGGTTCTGTAAAGGTTGCCCATCTGAGGACAACTATCCTCTTTTGCTTTTTCTGCTCATTTTATAGCCAACAATCTGGCGGGAAGTCGGTCTTGCAATGGTGATGTGAAGGAGCTCTCATCACACATGGGCTAATCGCCACATCTCCACTGGCAGCCGGCTCTCCTGTCAATGTGCACAGATCTGCAGCTCCACAAAGAGTAGGGGCTTGCTCTCTAAGAGTGCGTGGACCCTCCTTTTGCAGTGTGCTCCGGGAAACCGCCTGCTCCAGGGATGACGCTGAAGGCCTGCGGATGTCGAAGTGCCACTTGAAAGCAAAGCCAAAGGAAAGAGCAGACCAGCTCTCCTGCCTACCTGTACAACTCGCTGGTGGGTTGTAAGAACGCCGTCGAGCTTCATCTTGGACCCCTGCTCCTGAGTCAGCATTACTTCCGTGGTCCTGGTGGGCATGGCATAGCTGTGGAAATGGTAAACCAGCCTCAACATTTGAGAGGCAGAGATAAAGAGGGAGGCAGGGGGAATGGGGGATTCTTGCAATACTCAGCAGAAAGAAAGGAACTTTAGGCCTGGGGGAAATGAGGCTCTTCAGGGAGCCTTTGTGCCTAATTAGCCATGCAAGATGGGCTGCCTGTGTTAATGAGGTCTTTTTGCTCAGTACTTCTGCATCAACCTGCCTGTGTAATTTGCCCCGAAGATGCACTCTGTAAAAATCAGCAAGGTGTATTTCATTTACAGGCCTTGTCCCAAAGGCTCAGAGTGGGCGGAAGAAAGAAAAGCAACAGAGTTCAGAGACTGATCTTGACGATAAACCAGCCGACTGCAGTGGACACGGAAAACTGGTCTGACTGGGCGTGGCTTCCGGAGACCTGGCCTGAAATCCCTGCTTACTCGTGGCATTTGCTGGGTGTGTTTTGCTGGAGTCCTGGAATTCCAGTCATGAGGAATGAAGTTCAGATTTTTACTAGTGAGACAACCCAGTCCCCTGCAGTAACTTACAACAGCATGCTCCTGGGTAGCGGCCCTCATGGCCAGCTACAAGATCTTAGAACATATACAGAGTGCGTCATAGGTTCTGTGTCTCACACACACAGCAGCAGGGCAGAGGAGGAGGAAATAATGAAAACACGGTCAGAAGGATGTGAGAGGTCTGCAGAGGGGACTCGGTACAATAGCTCTGATTACAGGAGATTGTCGTTTCAATCATGAATGGAGGAATTATTGGCAGTCTTGGCTGTGGGTTTGAATGTGTAAATTGGGGTCACCAGAATACCACCAGGAAAACCTAGCTGGCCATCAGCTTTGTTGCTGTAAGCACAGGAATGGACAAAGGCTAACTTTCCTTGGGAGCGCCTCACCCCTTAGGCAAACACCTTTGCAAGTAAATGTAGCAGCCACTCTCAGATGAGCCTTCCAATCTCTGAAAGCTTGCGCTAAACAGAAGCCTGGTCTGGAATTCTGGTTCTTTCTGAGGAAGAAGCCAGGATATTGCAGGTCTGACTTTATAACACAAAGGCGCATATAAACAACTTTTTTTCTATAAGGATTCCTCTGGATTTTCCCAAGGGTTTCGATCAGGGGCCCGCCAGGCAAAACAAGTGGCCGCTTTTGCAAATGACGCGCCCCTTGGTTTCTAGTACCACGTAGGGTGGCCAGCTGCAAAAGGGGGACAGGAACTCCTCCTGCACTTTTGAGCGGAAGAGGGAAGATCAGTAAGTATAGCTTGCCGTGCAAACTATCCCAGCTGGAATGCCCTCCTGCATGACTGTGAAAGGTGCAAGAAGGCAGTCCTCCCTTGCCCCTGGCCACCCCATCGTCAGCGGGCAGGGGAGGGGGGCTGCACAAGCCAAGCACACGATGCGGCCCACGGGCCACATGGACCCCGCCCTGCTCTTGCCATGCTGCACAGTAATTCAAAGAAAGGCTGGTGCCGCGGTACCTTAGAAAAGACACACGAGCTTGTTTCCACTCTTCTGGCTGGCAATGGCAGAAGTGCAGCCCGGAAAGGGGCAGAATCTGTGGGAAGCGGGCCCCAAACTCGCAAAGCTGTCCGTCCTTGAGCTAAACTCTGGCCGTGCTCAGCCCTCCTCTCCAGTTTACAAGATCTGACCAGGCCATCCTGACAGTTTCAAGGACCACAGCTGACTGCTCCAGCTCCCAGAATGCGGTCTCCAGCCCAGGAGCCACACGATTCTGATCGGCCCTGAGAAATGCAGCACGAGGGAAGGGGCCTCACTGCCCAGGCTCTCCCGACTGCCCCAGAGCGGAGACGCAGCTCCCCGACCCGCACCTTTCCTGCACGATGATGGACAGTCGATTGCACAGCTTGTGGATGTACTTCATATAGTGCTCGACGAGGGTCATGTCGTAGCCAGTCATCACGATGCTCAAGGAGCCGTACTCGTGCTCTGTCCCGGGATCGATCTCCTTCATGTGTACGGAGGCCCTCCTCTTCTTGGAAGCCTGTGGAGGCAAAAGCCGCATCCACTTGAATTCAGCTTTTTTATGCATTTATGACTGGCTTGTGCACGGCCTGGGATTGTAATCCCTGCCGGAGCACCTCTCTCAACCTCCAGCAACTCCGACACGGTCCCCCCCACTTGACCCAGTTCCCATTCAGGAGCTGGGACTGATCCCGGGGCCAATCCTTCTCCGCTCTGACTGCTGGCAAACGGGTGGCCCATTGCCTGACCGCACGTGCCTTGCTCTCCTGTCACAGGATGAGCAGCCAGGGATGGGGAGGAAGGGCCAAGGAGAGGAGCGTTGCAGGTGCTCACCTCACCTGATCTCCAAATCGGCTGCCATCCAAAGGAACGGACTGCAGCTCCCTAACTTAACTGGAGGTGGCAACCCTACACATCAGGTGGGCGCCAGGCGGGAAAGGCTGCTCAGAATGAAGATCAGCACCGGATGCCCTTGGGCAAAATGAGTATCACCCTAAATATATGTGAATACTAGAGAATATTGTTTTGAAATTAGGATGGGGTGGTGTGTTGATGTCACTGTAATCATCAGCATTGATCAGAGTACTAGTTCTTGGAACGGTTTTAAAGGTCAAGGTGGTTTTTATCCTAAGTGGTGGTTATGCCCAGTTGTAAAAAAATAAAATAAAATTTTTCGATTTATATCCTGCCTTTTTCCTACAAAGGGCTCAAGGCAGCTTACATCATTCTCCTCCTCCATCTTATCCCCACAACAACAACCCTGTGAGGTAGGTTGGACTGAGAGTCTGTGACTGGCCCAGAGTCACCCAGTTGGCTCCATGGCTGAGCGGGGACTCGAACCCAGATTGTCTGAGTCCCGATCCCATGCTCTTAACCAGGACACCACACTGGCTCTTATGAATTAGCTGGCTGCACAATAACAGCTGCCAGGTCAGTGTCTGCAAAACATGGGGTGCCATCAAAATTCCAGAGAGCAAGACTGGAGAGCGAGACACAGGCAGCGCAAGCGCCAGCCAGGCCAGCACAAACGGGAAGAGAAAGACAAAAATGGAACCCAATGGTTACAGTTGATTGAGTCTGGCATTCTGGAATGAATAATGCCAGAATTATTTATTTATTGCATTTTTAATAACATTAATATATCCCACAGCCACAGGATATATTGACGTTAGGAAAGAATTTGACTGGATGAACAGCGGGTTTTGTGAAATGTAGATGGCTCTACATCGCTTTTGAAAAATAACATGCTAAAAAGAGAAAGGGAAGGAGAAAGAGTCTCTGAAGAGAAACATGAGAAATTCACTGAAGTCTGATGGATTGTGCCGTTCCAAGGCCTTTCTTAGCAATCTAACAGGCAGCAAACAGGCAGGCAAAACATGCCCACTGCTTCATTTTATGTCCGCCAACATTCTGCCTGCTTAATTTCTGAATATCAGAGCACCGCAAAGAGACAGGAACACGTCCAGTAAACGGCACTGCTAAAGACCACAAAGCCAAGTATTGAGGAGCCAACTGGCACTCCCCAGGCTGCTGGCAGGGAATCCCATCCGGCCCGCCCTCCCCGGAGAGGACTGACTTGCATGGCTGAAGGGGCTGAAGGTCTTGAGCAGAGCCACGTGTCTTCTGGCGGCCCCGGAAGAAGGAGCTCAGGGTGGAAGTCCGGGACAGGGCAAGGGCGGCTGAGGACAGCTTAAAAATGAGGTTCTCCTGACATGGGGATGTACGGAGCAACGATGGTGCTGCTGGGGGAGCGAAGGAAGTTTAGGACTGTTGCAAGTCGCTCAGGCACCCTCTTTTGTGACCGGAGAATCTCGGCAGGCCGTCGACTGCAGCTCTGTTTGTGCTTTCACGATGCAACCGCACTCAGGAGGGCCACCCGTGGGGAGCTCTCCGAATGGGGCAAGCACTGCACCCCTCCCCTGCCGCATGCTGCCACGCAGTCACACTCCCAGCAGGGTCAGGCTCCTGAGGGCTCCTTGGTGGGCTGCGAGAAGCCCAGTTTTGTGGGGAAATGAGGCAGGTGCTGCCCACGTACCTCGTGCCAAATCAGGCACTGCTGGGATTTCAGCCGCACAGCGGCAGCAGCCGGGGAGTGGGAGGGACACGTACCAGCTGCGCACGGCTCCTGTGGGCGGCATGCAGCGTGTGTAGCATCCACTCCTGCGGGAGAGAGATGTGCCCAAGCAGGGGAGTGCTGGGGCTAGCGAGCCTGGGGCTACGTGCTCCCCGCGCCAGATGGCCAAGGAGTCCGGTCTGGCAGCTCTGCCGTGAAGTGGGCTCGTCTGCCCGGAGCCAGGCTCACAGTTTGGCAGCAACAGCAGTCCTCACAGAGCAGCTTCATGACTCACGGCTTAGTCGGGCTTGTTCGGAAGCAGGCACTTGCTCCCGTCAACCTGCAGCCCTGGTCCAGATGCGTCACAAGGCAGTGCCACGGAAAGCGAGCGCAGGGGCTGCCGGTATCCTCCTCCTAACCAAGTACAGGCCCCCAACACCTGGTGCAGCTTCTTCCTGCTCCAGGCCACATTCACAGAACCACAAAATGGAGGGCTTGCAGGGGGCCAGGGGGCCACTGGTCCACCCCCCTGCTCAGTGCAGGACACCAGCCATCCCTCTCAGATGGTGGTCCAGTTTCATCCTGAGTGCCACTAGTAGGAGAGCCCACCACCTCCCTCGCACATGGGTTCCATTCCCGTGCTGCTCCAACGGTCAGGACGTTCTTCCTGACGTTCAGCTCGAACCTGGCTTCCTGCTTGAGTGTGTTATTCCATGTCCCGCATTCTTGGATGACTGAGAAGAGATCCTGGCCCTCCTCTTTGCAACAGCCTTCCAAGTTCTTGAAGAGTGCTATCCCACCCACTCCCTTCCGTGTGCCCTTCTCGAGGCTAAGCATGCCCAGTCCTTCCCATCTCTCCTTACAGGGCTTTGTTTCCAGTCCCCAGATCATCCCTGCTGCCCTCCTCTGAACCCTTTCCAGCTTGTCTTTCTTAAACTGTGGTGCCCAGAACTGGATGAAGTACTCCAGACGAGGCCTAACCAGTGCCAAGTGGAGATCAAGTTCTTCACTAGTACACACTGACCAGAAACTGTGCACTCCAATACATCTGCAGGGTGCCAGCTGGGGAGCGCTGTACTACATGTGTGAACATGGCCTTTGCCTCATCAATAAACCAACCACTGTCCTGCTTCCCCTGTGCAGTTCTGTGCTGCTTCTGCTAGGCCATGGCTCAGCTCAGATCTCCCCTTCTACTCCCCTCCCTCCATCCAGAAGACCAGGTTCAGCAGATTCTCAGTCTCTTCACCCAGTTCAAATCTTTCCTGCCTGGAAGACTCTTGACAAGCTAGGATGCACAGTCCCTCTTTCATTCTCTGCCTTCAAGGCTTCCTGCCCAGATGAATTATTGAGTCATTATCTTTCCAAATTACAAGGGTCTCCTTCAAAATATTACATCTTTCAAGAAGTTTCAGGCAGTCTTTTCCTTTAGCACAGCCAGCAACAGGTACCCAACACAGTTCGCCCAGATGGACAGTGTCCACTGCTCTGCAGAGCAAAAGAAGTTTAAAAAGAGGCAGGTGCTGAGACTGAAAGAAGGAAAATGGCTACTGTCAAAACGGGACCTGATACAATTATGTGATTGAAATATTTTTTTCAGTGAAATCACAAACATTTTATTTTGTGGGAAAGTTATTTCTGTCCCCTTTCCCTCCACATCTGACATTTCTTTAATAGGTAATGGTGATCATGATGCTTATTGCATCTGTCTAAGTTCCAGCATGGATAAGATTCCAGAAAATAGTCAGTTAAGCACAGAACAATGTGGGGAAGGGGGAAAGAGCAGTTACAAGGACTTCACACAGTTAACTCCTCAGCAGCAAAGACCTGACAACTGTTAGTGATCCAGTTAGTGTTAGTGATCCACCATGTATTCTGTGCTGATAGCACTGCATAGGGATTACAACAGCTTCTTCCAATGCAGAGAATCTCTTGCACTGACACCAGAGAAAGACGGCGCTTCCCCATCAGTCTTTGGAACCCCATCTTAAAGAAGATGCAGAATCAGTGAGGTCTAAGATCTGAAACACGTACCTTTGAGGGGAGCAAATGTCCATACCGGCCGATTCGATGAGTGGGTTGGGACCTGTACTGCCGGTGGCAGTTCAGCAGTGAGCTGCCTTTAGGAAACAAAACAGAACTATTTGAAGACCCAGCAATTCCCCCTGTGAAGCAACCACAACGGAAGCCTTAGTGTGAAGAGAAGGCCACGGCTAGGCTGCTTGAGGCATCTTTCACCTGCTCATCCAGTGTTTTTCAAAGCTCCAAAGTCAGGATGGGCAGGATGTGGACCTCTGGCTGTCTGGGACTTCCAGCTCTCAGAAGCCACAGTCGGCTTAGCCTGTGGTCAGAAATGCAGGAAGCTTCGGAGACCTACCTTCTGCCTACCCCCGTGAACCCTGTCGGTCTTTGGAAGCTTATCAGAGGTTCCTTAATACAAACAGCAGTAACGGCAAATCTCTGTAAACCACCTGAGGAACTTTGGCTCTTGGACAGCAATGTAATAAATGAAACGGCAAGTGAGATTTCCTGAAGTGCCTCTTGACTGTTACCAGCCGCCTTTCTCTCACCACATGCAGCGATTCACTCTTGGTTGTTGTCAGGCAGTGACAACAGGCCTGCCCAGCACACACTTTAAGCTTGCTGTGCACCCTAGAATTTGCCCCCGAGTCCTCTGCACCATGTAGGAGTTCAGCAGGGGCTCCTCAGCACGGCAATCTCTTCATGAAGACCAGGCAGGACCTTTGAAACCTGCTGCCCGGAGGCCCCATCAAGCGTGGGACCAGGCTGTGCAGGAGACCGGTGCGCTTTGCAGGTGGACGGTCCCCAATTCAATTCCTGGCATCCCCTGCTCTTGCCTGCCGATTAGAGCAGACCTGATGCATTGTCTGACCTGTATGTATACAGCGATGTGTATGTACCCGAGTGTCACTTTAACAAGCCTTTGCACACAAACGAGTGTGTTTGCTTGCAATCTGCCCAGACAACAGGGCCACTGGACAGATTCAAAATATAAAATAAATATATGCACTCAGAAGTAAACCCACAGGATTCAGTAGGACTTGTTTGCAAGTTTGCACACAGGTGGTCAGACAATGAACACACGTCAGCTCTAGCCCCCGTCACTGAAAGGAGGGGCAAAGCAGGGAAGGGGTCGGTGGCAGAAGAGGGCTACTGCCCTTGCATACCGCTGGGGGGTCTCTACAGGTCTCAGGCTGGCCACCCCTCAAAAACCGAATGCTGGATGAGCCAAGCTGTTGGTTCGATTCTGCAGGGCTCTTATGACGATGACAAACAACTCTGCATAGCACCTGCTCCTCTGTCTGAATTGTTTATGTGAACCCTTTTTAGGTTTTGACACCGAGGGTACGGATTGATGTTTTCTATTTTTGTGCAGCCTCTAAAAGCTCTTATAAATAATGATGAATGTTATCAGGATAAGGCCCACTCTCTCCCTTTCCAGCGAGAGAGAGGGACCACTTTTTTCATGCAGCACTGCAGGGCACCTGAGGCGAAGTTTGCCTTCCAACAGGATGCATGTGATGCTTGTCTTGTCTATTAAAAAGACATTCTTACCTACAGAGCAGATGGAATCCCTTCTGGATGATTTTGAGGTAAGACTAAAGGAAAAAGAAAGCAGACCGTTACACTGCACTGATGCTCCCACCCATGATATTTTGCAACAGCTTCTCAAGGTGTTCCAATCCCAGTGTCGCGATAATGATAAGATCCTGGGCTGATTCCTCCAACGGCCTGTGCAGGGAGTTTGGGAGTCAAGACAAGCAGCAGTAGCTGCAATGCAAAAGGATTTAGAACAGAACACCAATACTTGCTATCCCATGTTGTTGTTGTTGCTCGCCGTAAAGTTGTGTCCGACCCATCACGATCCCATGGACAACACTCCTCCAGGCCTTCCTGTCCCCCACCATCCCCCGGAGACCACCCAAGCTCACACCGACTGCTTCAGTGACTCCATCCAGCCCCCTCATCCTCTGCCGTCCCCTCCTTCTTTTGCCATCTATTATTCCCAGCATCAGGCTCTCCTCCAGGGAGTCCTTCCCTCTCATTAGGTGGCCAAAATACTTGAGTTTCATCTTCAGTATCTGGCCTTCCAAAGAGCAGTCAGGGTTGATCTCCTCTAGGACTGACTTAGAGGTTAAGTACATTTTCAAAGCGCATTGAATTCCAGGTAAACAAGGAGAGGACCAGGTGTTTTTTCTTGTTTTCCCCTGGTTGTATCCCACACTGGTTGAGTCAAAATACCAAGCTAGGGTTATGACGCAGACATACCTGAAAACCAGCCAGGAGACCCTGACTTTAGTGTGACCATTCTATGAAGCACAAATTTACTCTAGACGGGAGATAAACAATGTCACCACTGCCTAGACTTCAGTGATCTTACCTGAGCACTGCAGATGCCTCTTTTAAGAAGGGTCCCTTTCCCCAGTACAGCACCTGGTAGGATGGGCATGGGAGAAAAGAGTTAAATCCCCTGAAATAAAGTAGGGCTGCAGAGAGCTTTCCAAGCAACAGGGTCGTTCTTTTGCATTTTATGTTTACATTACCCAAAAGACCGGAGGGTAGGAGGTTTGCAAGCCATCAGAAAACTCTCTGAAGTATTATAAGAAGCCTCAAAGGCTGTTTTTATGTGGACAAGAACACAGATGAGTACGATTTCTCTTCTTGTGTACTCGGTCACTCCTATGTGCGCCTTTCAACAGCAAAATGATATTCACGGAGATGGAAAATGCATCAGGCTGAATTTCTTCTCAGTGCCAGACCCTTGTCTTCAGCTAAAAATGCTACACATTTCCTTAAGTCAGTGTATACGAAGCCCATCCACTGTATTCTATTCATTACAAAGAAAACAGGAGTTCTGGAGAAAGTGTTTAAAGATAAGCAACTGGCATTCGCTATTAAGAGAATGCAGCACCTTAAGGGCTGCACAATGGGCATTTGTTAGCTTAGGAAGAATTGCCCTGTACGGGGGCATGACAGAGGCTTATAAAATCCTGAACAGATGAAATTAAACAAGGAGCACCACTGCATAAAGATTATCCCAAAACAGAAGGGGGCGGAGGGTCATGCATTAAAACACATGGCAACCAATTATCTTGTAAACCACTCAGAGCCAGGGGTGGTATGTATGTAGGTATGTATTTTTATTTCTATCCTGCCTTTTTCCTACAAAGGGCTCAAGGCAGCTTACTTCATTCTCCTTCTCCATCTTATCCCCACAACAACAACCCTGTGAGGTAGGTTGTGACTGGCCCAAAGTCACCCAGTTGGCTCCATAGCTGAGCGGGGACTCGAACCCGGATCGTCTCAGTCCCACCCTCTTAACCACTACACCACACTGGCTCTCTCACACTGGTATATAAAAATACAAATCAATAAATAAAATAGTTTGGGCAACCAAAAGGAAGCATTCACACACAGCCTTGTGCAATTTATTACAGCAGCATCCTGGAAGGTCTTCTAGCATAGGTAGCTTTTTAAAGGACTAGATCGGTTCCTTGAGGAAGACAAGTAGGTCTGCAACAATTATGTGGCAGCAAGAAAATTAGGATATCCTGTTTCATTGCACTCCAACATCTCATGGACACTGATCTTGCTGAGTCCTCATTGGGGTGTTTTGGGCTTAAGCTTTCTTCTAAAAAAATGTTTATATTTCTGCCAACTTGGAGTTCTTTTAAGCCTGTTAATATGTCCCTCATGTGTGGATGGTGCTGCTTTTGCCGCATAAATACTGTCACCCCAAGAATTGAGTAAGAATTTGAATAGGTAGTTTTATTTATTTATTTTATTTCTGTGCATGAGGGCAAACAGATTGAAGCTTAATCTAGACGAGACAGAAATGCTCCTGGTCAGTGAAGCAGGGAATAGGAATCCTGCCTGTGCTGAATGGGGTTCTGCCCCCCACCCCAAAGATACAGGTTCGCAACTCAGGTGTATTTCTGGATTCAACCCTGAGTTTGGATGCCCAGGTTCTAGCAGTGACCAAGAGTGCATTTGCACAGTTAAAACCAGAGCACCCGCTGTGCCTATTGCTGTCGCTGTCAGATCTGGCTAACACGACACACGGCTCGGTTACATCCCCTATGGATGATTGTGACGCCCCCTACGTGGGGCTGCCTCTGAAGTGTTTGGGAACTTCCGCGGGTTCAGGGAGTTGCTCCAGGCTGCTGGCTGGGGCTGGCTGCGAGCAGCGCATGACTCTTCTGCTGTAACAGCCTCACTGGCTCCCAGTCTGTTTCCAGGCACAAGTCAAGGTGCTGGTGATAACCTGCAAAGCCCTCCACGGCTGCAGTCCAGGTTATCTGAAAGACCTGTTTGTGCACACGAGTCTGCACAGACTCTATGCAGAACACGGAAAAGGGCCTTCTCTGTGGCTGCCCCCAGGCTCTGGAACACCCCTCTTAGGGAGACAAGGTTGGTGTCTTCTCTGTATGGTTCTGTAAGCAGGCTAAAATCTTTTTTATTCCAGCAGGCATTTGGGAATGGCCTGTGAGTTTCAGCTGGATTAATTTTAATGTTTATATGTTTATAGAGTTTTTAAGGGAGGTGGTAATTTCTTTTTAATATGTAATTCTTTTAATTATGTGAATGTTAATATTGTGAGCTGCCTAGAGTCTCAATCATTTGAAACAGGTGGAATATAAATAAATACAACACTACCACTCCATAGCTGAAGCTGTCTGGGTGGTTTACAACAATACATAAAAACAAAATATTCAGATATTATGTGAACACCATAACGTCAAAACAGCATTAAAAATTTTAAACACCTAAATTATACAGTAAACAAATTACCCTGCAAAATGGAAAATAGCAGGATGGGTAATCATCTTAAGCCCCTAATAACCAAGTAAGTCTTTCAGGGCCTTGGAATAAAGGGCTGTCTTAACCTACCATTTATTCCCCAAATAAATAGGGTGATATTTCTTATTTTATTTATAATATCTTAACCTATCCATCTACAGTTAGCAGCATCTGGACAGAAGACCATATAGGCCATGGGTCCTCAAACTACGGCCCGCGGGCCGGATCTGGCATGCCATGCCCATTTATCCAGCACATGACAGAGGTTTTGGAATCGCTGCACGCACACGCATGTCGAGGTGTCAGCTTGCTTGTGCGGAGATCGTTTTGGAGTCGTTCGGAGAAAGTGACTTCCACACGCCTGCCCGCTCCCGCACCGCCTTGGCAGCCCACACCCATCGTCAGCACCTTTCAACTGGCTCCCTGTCGAAAAAGTTTGAGGACCCCTGATATAGACACACAAATCACCTGGTCACAGTCTTACCCACTACAGTGAGATGATTGGAATTTCTATGTAATTATAGTAATTATTTCAAAATGTTCATCTATGACTATCAATTAGCAATTTTTGTGCAACCTTGTACCCTTTTCTGGAAATTCATGTCCTCTTTCTTGGTGTGTTACTGGCCACCACAGCTGAATGTTGGTTGGGAATGAAAAACCAAACATCAGCCTAAGGTACACTGGACCAGTTTCTTTCCTTTGATTCACCAGTATACTCCTGTATGCTGACAGCAGTCCTCTTGCACAGGACTACCAGAGCTGCATTTATTAATTTATTAAAGTTTTGTATGCCGTCCTATTATACAAAAATCTCAGGATAGTTTACAATGTGTTGCCACCAGCTGCACTCAAGAGTCAGCTCTGCCCTTGGCCCTCGACTTCAATTCAATATTGTTCATATTCTCCAATAGTTTTGGAGCCACCTCTCCGTCCCTCTTGGCCAGGGCAACTTCTTTTACATTGTTATTTATTTTATATTGTTAATTTTATATTGTTATTTTTGTATTTTATTGTATTTTATTGTGTTGTAAGCCGCCCCGAGGCTTCGGCAAGGGGCGGCATAGAAATGTTTTAATAAATAAATAAATAAATAAAGTTGAGCATTCATTCAGAATAATATCCATAATGTCTACAGGGGCATTAATTACTTAATATTAATTATTAAAGTATTAGTTGTTGTAATCATTAAAATCATAATTTTAATGATGCAACCCACTTAGAGGTAACTCCCAGTGACTTCAGTGGAGGTGTGGTATAGTGGTTAAGGATGTGGGGCTGGGCCTCAGGAGATTGGAGTTCCAGCCCCACTCATCCCCAGAGCTCACTCGGTGACTCTGGGACAGTCACTCTCAGCCCAACCTGCCTCACAGGGTTGTTGTGAGAATAAGTAGCTGGGAGGCGGAGAATTACGTAAGCCGTCTTGAGTCCCTTGGAAGGAAATCTGGCAGAATTTAAATGTAATAAACAATGCAGCATTCCCCACCAACCAGGTAGGGGAAAGCTGGGGCATACAAAACCACAGCCTAAAATTCTTTAGCTAAAATATCTGGTGTCATCATCCAACCAAATACAACGACCAAGGCAGCTCAACTCCCAACATGAACCTAACCGAGCACCGCGGCCTGCAGAGGCTTCTGGGAAGGGCCATGCTGTGGCCATGTTAGGAGCAAGCAAGGGATCATGGGAAAAGGCCTCTTCTAAATAAGTAGCACTCAGAAGCGCTCCGCCTCTCCCCTCCTCCCACTTCCACTCGAAGGGTACATACTTTGGCGAGAGACGCCGTCATGCTCTCCGACCGCCCCTGCCGACCGTTCAGGCAGTAACCACGGCGACACAACAGAAGAAGCACGAGCCCGAATAGGCTCCCTGCCTACACCCGTCCCCCAGCCGCTTGGGTTCAACGACAAAAGGTGTCCCCCTCGCTTCCTGGTACGTTGGCACACAGTTCCGCTACAGCGCAAGGCTGCTGAGGGGAGCAGCCGCCAATCACTGATAACCCCTCCCGTCGACAGCTCTGATTGGTTAAGGACGAAGAGCAGAGAACGAAAAAGAGAGGGAGGAGCCCTTTCCCTCTGGGGTTGAGCCATTCATTTTTTTTCAGCAGCGCCGGAGAGCTCTTTTTCATCGAACAGAATTATACAAGACGGTTTCTAGTAGATGCGGCTGATGTGTACAAAATTGGTGCCTGAATTTAACATATAGCTAATCGGCTATTTTTTTAAAGTAGCGTTGCGTTCAGGTTGTTTTGCTATAATAGCAATGGTGGGACTATTTAGGGATATTATTGCAATATATTTTATTATATTGTTGCAAAATATAGCTGTGTGTGTGCAATAGTTACACAGGAACCTTATATTCCAATTTTCTGGGAGGGGAATATGAAGCCGCCACTACATTAGCACAACGCCGTCGCATCCTGTATATATTCAACCCAGAACCAAGGAGCTCAAATAATCTGCAAATGGGTAAAGACTGGCAGTCACATCCCAGTCCCCGTAGAAAGGCTTCCAGGCCTGAAATTCCCCGCTGAGGGCGTCTAGCTTGGTTTCTATTGTCCTTTCACTGACAGACAAAAGATGTTTTATTCAGGCAGGCCTTTAATCCCACAACGAAAAAGCAACAGTATATAGTCTGGGTAGCCATCTGGAGCAAGAGGCGCTTCCCTCGATGCACCCAAGCCTGGAGCTTCGTAGGGAAGGAACAGACCTGCATACCTTCCAGTTCTTAAAGAGAGGGTGAAGAAAAAGCAGCCCAATCCCAGCCAAGGCCCACGGATCCCTTGCCCTGTATTACCTAACAGGAAAAGGAAAGTAGTGCGGGAGGCGCCAAACTCCCTTGCACCGGCATCTGCGCTGGCACTGAAGGCTGAGCTGTGGCAATACGAATGCACGGAATGCATCGCCCTAGACAGACTCATGCAGTGACTCAGCGGCTGCAGCGGCTGGCATGTCCGGGCCACTCTACCTATGGGCAGGCTAGCACACAACCTCTCCACAGGCACGGTGGGGCTTGCCCTCACGGGCGGAGACGTCGGAATGCGTCCGGAGATCCTTGCAACGGGACCGAGGCTGTGTCCCGCCCGGAATCGCTGCGCCGCGCAAACAGCACCGCTCACACGTGGCAAGACCTTGCGCGGTGCAACCAAACTTAAGGATGGCCCTGCTGTGTGTACCTCAGCAGAAGCTCCCCGCCCTCTCCGGGAGAGGCCTCCGTGCTGCTTTTTTCATAGGGCTGCAGAAGCATCAATCAAAGCTGGGGGGGGCAGCAGGAACCCCACCAATTAGCTCTCTGATTAGTCCCTACATCTTAGCCCAGGGAGGCAGCCATATTGAGTGTGGCCTGCGGGGAGGGGAGTAGTTCCCATTGTTGTTGTTGTTGTTATTATTATATTTCTATGCCGCCCCTTGCCGAAGCCTCGGGGCGGCTTACAACACAATAAAATACATTGAAATACAATAGAACATAATAAATTACCATTAAATACAAAAATACAAAAAAATACACTGAGATACATTGTAGAAGGCGGCTTAGAATAGATAAATAACATGACCCAGAAAATAAATAAAATAAAAACTTGTGGTATTTAGTTATTACGCTTAGTATTTGTTACTGCTTCTAGAATGTGTTCTCCACAGCTACTTGATTATACAGGAGTAGTTTATTTAATTTAGTACTAGCTGCTTTCGGAAACACACCTATAATTATAACAAATTATAATACACAGAAACACAGCAAAACACAAAGCCAGGGTCTCAAAAATTAAAGATGTGTGGCATGCACTTGTTTATAGGGAATTATGTAAAAGTTCTTAAAAGCATGGATCATGCCACTGGGACCTCATGGAAGCAATGCTCCCTATGACCCATGTTTAAAGGCTTTTAGAACTCCACGGGTAGATAGTAGTGTAAGAAATAGCATGGGCTTACTGTCTCCGAAACATGGAATTATTGCAGTTGGTGCACAGCAAAAATACTGTTCATATACTTAGGAATGGCTGTGCTTCTCACTGATTAGGTTTGCACACATGAAAACCTACACTCAAGAGTTCAGTGTTGGTTGCCATTAACTATGGACAGTTGACATCCCTGTGGCCTAAATTCAGCTGAGAGAACAACCCAGGGTGAACAACCCACATTCCACAATCCAACAACAAAGCATGCATTCTCTTTATGGGGTGAACCAGTTAGCACAACTGGCTTCAGACAATGATAAGCCATGTTTCAGCCCTTGAAAGTTCACCAAGTCCTTGAGTTTGATTTATACTGAACCCACCCATAAAATTATAAGAAAAGCCTTGTTAGAGCAGCGCTTTGAACTCATGCGGCTAACCAGCTGCCCAAAGGTTTAACTCAAGAAGGATGGGTGCAAGGCCTCCTTTGACCCATGTTCCACGGCAACTGGTGTGTGCAGACATAGCCAGCAAGGGTAGTAGCCATGGATAGCCTCCTCATTCATTAATCCATTTAGTCCCCTTTTAAAAATCATTCACTCCTTCCTGTGGCAGCGGATCCCATAGTGTGAATATACACTGTGAGAAGAAGGACTTCTTTTATCCCCCTCCCATACATCAGCTTCATGGGCTAACACCAGTTCTACTATTATGGGGGAGGGAGAAAAAATTCTCCACACCAAGCATCATTCTGAACATCTGTAGCGTGCCTCCTCTTCCTCGCCTTTCTTCTAAGCTAAGCCATTCCAGCTGTTGTAGCTGTCCTTTGTAAGGGAGCTGCTCCAGCCCCATCATTTCAGTAACCCTTCTCTGCACCTTTTCCAACTCAGTACTTTCTCCTTTCACATAAAGCAATCAGGACTGTTCACACCAAAGATTTGTGCAAAGGAAGCAGGATCTTGGCAGTTCTATTTTCCATTCCTTTCCTCATTATGGATTTGGTCTTTTTGGCAGCAGCTGCTCAGTGAGCTGACATTTTCTTCGCGCTGTCCACTGCCACTCCAAGATCCCTTTCTTCCTCACTCACCGCTAGCTCAGATCCCATCAGTGTATACTTGAATTTGGGATCTTTTGCCCCAAATGTAGATGCATTACTCTGCACTTGCTTACCCTGAACTGCGTTTGCCATGTTGATGCCCTTTCTCCTAATTTGGAGAGATTATTTGGAGATCCCCGCAATCCCTTTTGGTTCTAATAGCTGGCATCATCAGCAAACTGGGCCACTCCATTGCTCACTCCTAATGACAGGTCATTTGTACATGGGTTGAAAAGTATCGGTCCTAATGCAGAGCTCTGTGGGACTTCGTGGGACTCCCAATCCCTTCACTGGGAAAAACTGCCATTTATTCTCACCCCCTGCCTTCTGTTGTTTAACCAGTTAGTGATCTATAAGGGGACCCCCCCACACACACACACACTGTTATTCCATGATCTCTGAATTTGCTCCGGAGCCTTGGGTGAAGGGCTAGGTCAAAAGTCCAGGCAGGCAATGTCCACCAGATCGCTTTGCCCACCATTTAAATCTTGACAGTTGGAAACCAAACCCCGTGCTTTTTCTGTAAAAAAAAAAAAAAAAAAGGTGCCGGAACTCACCTCTTGGGGTCACACTTTTACACTAAAAAAGATTTTCAATTCACCAACTTTTTTGGAAATAAAGAACTTATTTACCTTTTGCACGTAGCCAGTCACTCTACACACACATAAACATAATGTCGCCGCCGGCAGTAAGCACTCAGTGCGCGACCACACGACCGATCCCAAGCCAAGCAGCACCCCAAGCCGAGCAGCGCCCTCACAAGTAGCGCCAACACACACGCAGCCCGCAGGCACTATTTTGATGCTTTTTGCCGCCGACCTGCTACGTCCGACAGGGCGATTCACAATCACATGGAAAAATCCGTCAAAAAAAGGCGCCGGAACGCCATTCCAGTGCGTTCCATGACAAAAAAAGCCCTGACCAAACCAAAACACTGTATATTTAGAATTAGGTTTTTTACTGAGCTGTTTATCGATTCTGTGTCTGCCCCTCATCAGCTCCTTTGGATGAGCCCAATGGGCTCTGAGGTTTAGGCTGGTCGAGCCATTCTTTATGTGGACTAGCACCATCGGTGCCCAGGAGGCGGATTCAGCAGGCCTGGGGAAGTCCAACACTTCACAGGAATACTATTTTCAGGAAAACAAACCCCAACTGGGAGAAGGGGGGGCTCCCCCAAGTCCTAGGAGGCCAGAATGTGCTCAGTGGCACTAACCTGGGAGGAGGAAGCAGAAAATTGGGGGAGATGGAATGGCTGGATTCCTACAGGGACATTCTGCGCTGCAACATTTGGATACAGCTCCCGCGTGTTTCCCCCTATGAAAAATGCAGGTCAAGCGTGATTCAGTCATGTGATAAAAATAACAGTACGAAGGAATGCCACCGCATTATGGGCAGATGGCAGAAAGCACTGGCATTTTGGGAAGCCGATGGGGGAGAAGCAAGCTGACATATGCTGTGGTAGGGTGGATGTATTTTTGGGCCTGGCGACCTCCATTGGGCACAATCCATCCGGGAGTTTTTCTGTGCAAAACACCTCCCTGAAAGAGTGAGCGGGCGTCGTACATGCATTCTCTGTGTAGGAAGCCAGGCAGCTCCGATTCATTTCAGGATAAATTGTCATGAGAGTGTCACTGAGAGCAGAAATTTCTGAGCTCACGCTCCACACTCAAATTGGTGCAAGGATGATTATGAATGAGCCCAGTTTTCCCCAGCTTGCTAAAAATAAAAAAGGCAATACCAGCTGCTCCCAACCTCTGCCTTTTACATACAAAAGGTGGCATTTCCCACCCTTTCCAGCTCACTGCGGCTCATTCATGTTCCCAGCCCCTTGATGATGAGAGCGGTTCCAAGAAGGCACTTGAAAACCTTAGTCACAAATGATTTAAATACTTCCTGTTGCCAG